AATGTCCACAAAGTGCTGAACTTGATTTATTGCATTGCCTATATGGGGATGCAGCTTTTACAACAACTTTCAGATTTTCCCTAATGATGCAGTAGTGATTTAGACCTGAAATACTTTCCACGAAAATTCCCTGCGAGCAGAAGATTCGATAAAATTCTAGATTTCCCTATCTCCCTCTGTGTTTCATCATATTTCATCCGATGAATGAGCTTACAAGGGAAGGATACTCGGTCGAAGTGGCCATTTGGAATGAGCTGTATATGAGGAAACCGTCCTCCGTAAGGCAAACTCAAAACTACTTTTGCTAGGTGCCGAGCGGTTTTGTGGGGGGAGTTACAAGGCCATTTTCCTCCGGCGCAGCCAGCGCACCCAGTGATGAGCGAGGCGCTAGAATAACGCAGCAGTGTGACAGTGGCGCAGTGGCAACGCAGGTGACTACGAAGCCGATGGTCGAGGGTTTGAGTTTTGTTGCTGCTACTTTGTTTTGCAGTTCTGTAAAAAGTCTATTGGGTGAGAGTAAACGAAAAATACTCATTTCTAGGCAGTTGAAACAAGCTATTTACTACAAAAAAGTCCTATTTCTACAATAAGCCATAATCTTCTACAATATGTAAATCTGTGGAGGTTATGATGTCACAACAATGGATTCAAATGATAAATTAACATGTACGGAATACAGCCACAAAATGCTCAAAGCAGAAAAGCTTCTCGCAGCGCGCACATCGGATGAAATATAAACGATGACAATCAGCAGCTTCACAATTGCCTATCAAAGTCGGTGAAACAGTACTCAATAGAAGACTCGAATTCGCCGGGGTGGTTGTCAATGTATCCGGCTGCATGCCATGGGTATGAAGGGAAAATTTTGAATCGCGGCGAGCAAAACTGGTGTAAATGAGCCATTCACAAGGATGGAATCCCTATGATGCAAGGTAAAGTTCAGATCGAGAGCCAATACATGGGATGTGAATCGATTGCAATTTTGCAAGTGTGCGCGCTGCGAGAAGCTTTTCTGCTTTGAGCATTTTGTGGCTGTATTCCGTACATGTTAATTTATCATTTGAATCCATTGTTGTGACATCATAACCTCCACAGATTTACATATTGTAGAAGATTATGGCTTATTGTAGAAATAGGACTTTTTTGTAGTAAATAGCTTGTTTCAACTGCCTAGAAATGAGTATTTTTCGTTTACTCTCACCCAATAGACTTTTTACAGAACTGCAAAACAAAGTAGCAGCAACAAAACTCAAACCCTCGACCATCGGCTTCGTAGTCACCTGCGTTGCCACTGCGCCACTGTCACACTGCTGCGTTATTCTAGCGCCTCACTCATCACTGGGTGCGCTGGCTGCGCCGGAGGAAAATGGCCTTGTAACTCCCCCCACAAAACCGCTCGGCACCTAGCAAAAGTAGTTTTGAGTTTGCCTTACGGAGGACGGTTTCCTCATATACAGCTCATTCCAAATGGCCACTTCGACCGAGTATCCTTCCCTTGTTAGCTAAGATTTTGATGTATTAAACGTCTCCGGTTTTATCTCGTGATCTGAGTTGGCTTTGATTGTGCAGGGCACACGAGTTCACTGTTGTATGGCTGTCGTAATGGCTACATTGCAGTATTTTCTGTCGCTTGAAAATCGAGTTTTGTGGTGCAAAAGTGCGTCAACCCCATGGTGATTTTGGAGTCTGTCCGTCAAAATCAGCGATTACGCAGAGTTTACGGAAGCGCTCTTCACTCATCTATCCAGAAGGGTCAGTAGATTCCATGATTATCATTTGAAATGAACAAGAGCTTGAAAACTCTTGAAACCATTTGTTTGTTGAAGCAGATTGACTATTGGTGCTTTTGAAAGCAAAAAATGCAGTGATCGCTTTTATTTGAGTAGGATGACAGGCCGTAGGTGTTGCAAATGTTTCATACTTTGGGATGTAATTGTACAAAAAAAATTTGAGAGTCAACGAATGCAACAGTGATCAAAAAACCAGGTGGCTTTATAATTTTGTCCAGCTTTCAAAGAGGGCTTTTTCGAATTTTTCGTTTTTCGCCGTTCAAATTCAACAAGACTGGAAGCCGTTTTGAGGGGTTATGGCAGGTTGACATGCGCACAACACAGCAAAGTTTCAGACAGACTCATTGACAAGAATGAAAATTACGACGATTTCTAGAGTGGCTTTATAATTATGTCCAGCACTGTATAGGGGCACAACGGGTGTCTTTCAACTTTGAGCTAGGCGGCTATAAATTGGTACAAGGGTGTATGCCATACCTTCGATACATAGAGCCATGTACTCTGGTAACCTTCACTTTGAGCGTCATGATAGAACACAACCTTCACCTGGGAAGAAGTACAGAAGTCATCCGGGGCGAAGCCCCGGAAATTATGACATAACTAATGACATAACCGTATAGGGATGAATTTAAATGAGGCAAATATAGCAGTGACATTCAAAAGAAATTCAAAAAAACCGAAGGATTGCGTTTTTATGGCCTTTTTTGTTGAAAAGAAGGTTTTTATTTAAAAATTCAATCAAAAACTAGGGCAAAATTCCTCAATTAACCTTTCTCTGAACTGCGGTTGAATGTTGGAAGTTCATTAAAGCCGCTGGAGTTCAATAAAAACGAAAAATTGCGCTCAAATCTTGCGCAAAGAGTCGCCATATGAATGCTGGTCTATCTTGTTATGGAGTGACTTTCAAGACCCGCGACGTTGTCAGTGCTCCTGGCCGTCTCATGAGGATCACAACGATATATAATTCTGCAGGATTTCATTGAGATCCTGCGAAGATCCACGATCAGAGCCAAATGCCCCACCGGCTCTGGTCTGTCTCCGCTGCTCGTCTGCGTCTCCACGCGCTGCGCGCTACCTCGCTACCTCAAATGCGGGGCGCGGGGCATTTGGCTCTGGTACCCTTTTCTTGTTGTTCGGAGCCCAATTTCGATAATCTATATATCATATTAAAGCTCTTAATCTCTATTTTCACGCTGACGACGTCGCGGAACTTCTTTTTAGGATTTAAACGAGAAATCCTCGAAAAACGGCGTTTTACCTCTTGTTTTTTCTTCAGTTTAACTTTTTTCACTCTGTTTTTTTTGTGCGTTAGATAGGTCTTGTTTCTGTCTATGATGTAGACAACGCGTCGCCGAGCTTACTTCTTTGCTTATGCCAGTTTTTTTGTGAAAAATAAAAAAGTGCGTTTTTCTTTACTTTGTTCTCTTTCTGTGCTTTTGCAGCGAATTTTTTCCAGCTTGGACAATACTTGCTCAGAATGATGAGCGGAAGAATCCAGACAACGTCGCAGCGTACGAAACGACTATGCGGGGGTGAAAATTTTAAAGGACGCATCAAAAATCAGATTGGCGTCGATGTGCAACACAACTTTACAGACATGTTTAACATTTTCAATTCAGTTGTTGACAAGTTCTTCTTCCTTCGGTCTCCCAAATAACGCCACAGCTAAACAGCGCTTTTTTGACTGGAAAATAACATTGTTGTTGCCACCCAATTTGACCGGCAATCCTAGAGACGAAACTCTGCGTAGGAAACCGCCAAGTTAAGGTTTCAGATTTGGTGATGTGCTAACCTCTGCTTTATATGAATTTTTTAAGTTTTCTAATTTAATTTGTATCTCTAAATTTTCGTCTATTTTTCTGAAACAACCTTCAATTTTTATAGGGGGCAAGAACTCAAACAACTATCACTTTCTAGCCCTTGTCTCTTGACTATCAAAGGTATGGTGTATGCTGATTACAAAACAGTGGATTTGAGAATTATCGATTACCTATTGGCCGCCTTCACCGATTTTGTTGCTGCATTTGCTATGTAATGAAATAGCAACGTGCCATGTTTGCGGAAATGGTTGTGTACAGAATCACTACAGCTATCGAACTATTCAACTTCCTTCTGGCTTATTTCCATTCGTAAGAGGAAGTTGTCGGCTTTCTTTTTCATTCTCAAAGAAAGTAGTGATTGTATCCTAATTTTCCAAAACGTTCCTTTACCAAAAAATCTAAAAATTGCAATAACAGGATTAAGAAGTATGATTTTTATAAACTTTTATTTGGAATATTTTGGACTAATTAAAGTATATAGTTCAAGCGTTCTATAAAAGTTATAGTTTCGAGCAAACGTTATAATGAAAACAACGAAACCGAATATTTTGTGGCATTTCTTTCAAAAAGATTCACTATTCAGTGAATCTATTCTATTAAGCGAAGTTCTTGTTATGCACCAAGAACTTCGCTCATTAGAAAAAAAGCTATAGAATCGTATCAGCTGTTTGCATTTCTATTTCTGACATTTTGCAAGACGTTTCACCGAGAAAATGTCATTTGTTGGCTTCCTCTCTTACTCTTGATCACATATAAGGGATCGTTTGAAACAAATTCACTCGGGTGGAGGACATTAGGTCGCCGAAAGAGGGCGGTCCCCGCGGTCATTTGCGACAAATGTGCACCCTTGTACATACGCGGACATGCGTTCCTGCAGGGAATCCGCGCGGGACTCTTCCAAACTCGGCGACCTAATGTCCTCCACCCAATTCACTCGACTTAGGACAAAGTGAAGCCACAACTACTTGTCATGAAATTGGTAGGTAATCATGAACTTTTTACTTTGCAAAGAACACACGGTACGGTTGCTAACTGTCCCTCCTGACGATTCAATAAAAAATTTATTGTCTTTCTGTAGACTACGCTTGTTCAATTTTTTATAAACGACAAGTTGTAGTCTCCCAGAAATACGCTTAGGGACTTTTGGTAAAAGGCCATTTTCGCAAGTAGCTCCGTTTCGATTCTCCATGATCTTAACTGTCGAATGGTGTGTAGCTTGCTGAGGCATTCCTCTTCCTGGCTTGAAAAAAGCCTTGCTACCTTTACAAGTCTGGCGATTGATATGGTATGCTGTTGCTATCAGTTTAATTCGTTCGCTCACGAGCTTGCCGCAGCAGATCTTCATTGCAGCTGCATCATCTATTTATTGGGTATGAAAAAAGTCTAAACACTAAAATTTCAAAACAGTTGATGATGTGAGAGGAGCGAGTTGACTGTTACAACAGAGTATTCCTCGAATAGCGTTGGAAACCGAAGCATTTCCCAGCACGTACATCGGCCACTTGGCAAAATTGAGCAATGTGCAAATCTTGAAGAGCAAGCTTTGCCAGAATCCGTAACTAAAACGATTCGCTTTCAAGCTTTTATGTCTGATTGTGTTAGGCCAGACTGCGCAACGTACGCAGCGTACGCTGCGCAGTGCGTACGCTCCATATCTTTATGCACGTGAGCGTACTCTGCGCAGTCTGGCCCAACCTATTGTGAGTGTAATTGTTTTAGTCTTACAAAATGCTTACCCAAAGTCCACATTGTAGCAGATGGTCATAACCAGGAAGCAGGTGCTCAACAAGAGAAAATTCGCGGCAAAACGAGTTTCTTTTCCAAATTTCCATTCCTACAATAAAACAAGGTGATGTCTGAGTGTTGATTGCTTGGTTGCACTCTACATACCCTTTCTGATACTCGCTTATTGAAGTGAGCACGCAGCGTTCGCAAACGTAGGCGAAAAATTTTCCAGATGATCACAATGTCGGCAGTGAATACAAATAAACCGAAAATTATCTAAAAACAACCTTTTCTTTTCAAAAAGGGCTCGAAGTCTGGTAATTCACCTGTAATAACTGGTTCAGACGTTGGTAGAGGTAAGTATATGGCAGACTATAATCGAAATACCAGTAATGATCGGATATAAGGTAGGTATAACCGCAGTATTTGGAGTATAACGGTGCTGTAATGAAATGTAGCTTCAACACGAGTTCAACTTATTTGATAGTGCATTGCAGCAAGCAATATCAACAAAAATCTTCAACATTAGCAACTGTAGCAAGATAAGCAAATTGTGGCAACCTGATAAATGCTTTCAAAGCATTTACCCTCGCAAACTCCAATCATGCTTCCAGAGTTGCTTAGATGTCTCTAAAATATCTTTTACTAAGTAGTTCCACAACCGGTCTACCTGAACAAATCTAACTGAGTTTGCTATTTTTTGTTCGACAGAGCAAAGCAGATCCATGAGTTGGTCATCGGACATCATCTACATCCTTGATGCACCTAACGGTTGATCAAATTCTATTACTTTGGCGCAAAGATGGTTGTTTTGCAGATTTCACTTTAACAAGCCAAAACTTTGTTCAAACTTATTTTTGAATGCATATGAACAATAACCCACACTCGTGCGCTAGGTTGCGAAAGGAATAATGATAATAATGATATCTCAAAAAGGTGGAGCAAGCCAGTAGTGAATAGAGAGGCCGTTAACGACGAAATTCAACAAGAACCAAAAGAAATTTTTGAAATCATTACTTGAGGCTTTTTTGGTAACCCTGAAAATCGCAAATCAAGTAAATCTGCAGTTCTCCGCGTACTGAGCAGCTACGTTCTTTTGCAAAAAGAGTTAACAAGATGTCCCACCCTAACGCTTACAGATAAGCGAAACTTTGGCGATTGTCCCTTTCAGAAGAAGGTTTTAGGAAACAGAATGTCCGCAGCGTCCGTCCATTTTGTGGCGATTTCTCAGTCCATATATTAGAACTAGAGAATCACCTACTGAGAGGTTGCTTTGGCAAACATATGCCAATTCCGTTTTCTAGATTTTAGCCATGACAAAAACAAGAAACTGTGCATAGGAGTGGTATGATGTAGAGGGTGTGTGTGCAAGTTGGGGGTTCTCAGGAAATTTTTGGACGGAGATACGATTTTTCAAAATTTTTTAGGCCTTTAGTGCCTTTAGAAATCTAGCTCCAGACTTTAGGCAAATCAAACTTGACGCTAACATCTAAGCTTCATTTTCTAGAGTTTGCTTTGGTCTATCAGTTGGTACCCCAATCACTTTTTTCTGGTCACCATGTCGGATATTGCATGATAAAACACAATGTAAAGATATATAAAACATTATTTTCCGGACAATCTAATAATTTCGAGAAACATGGTCAAGTGTATATATTAGGTTGATTCATAATTAATGCAAGTTTTTCAAAATTCATCTTCAAAGCGCCGTAATTCTTTTCCCACATTATCTTTCAAAGAGCAATAAGAACTGTTGCAAAGAGCAAATCTTTGGCTTTACAACACATACTTTTGTTCATAAATAAATGTAACGAGAAAGTTTGTACAGTCCGAAAAATGCCAAGAATTTTTTTAAAAACCTCTATTTTGAGAAAGCATAACTTACTTTTAGAAGTAGGGGGAAAGCGCAAACTTTGCTCATTGCGCAGCCAATGGTCAAGAGAGCAGTGGCAAAAAACTCAGATTTTACGGTATTTTTCTACGACGAGATACTGCAAAAAGTTCAAAAGTGATCATTTTTTCAAGCTTTTTGTGAAGAGCGAAAAATTGTTTTTTTTGAGAATTTTCAAAGTATTTGCCATTGAAAAGCTGTAAAATTTCACCGTTTTTCTATCACTCAACGTGCTATGTCTGTTCTTTCTGTACAAAGCAAAATCGTAGTCATTGGTTCTTGTTTCAAAGTTTTATACAACTTCGAAAGGCCAAGTTTGTGGTTGAATCTCTCATCTCAGAACTTTTGCAAAATTTTGCCTTATAGAGATTTCTATAGCAGAAAACTTGGCGATTGCTAAGCATATTTTTTGAAATCAACATCTTTTGTTTTCATGAATTAAAGCAAAAAGAATGAAAGGAAAAAAAACTTCAAGTTTTATCTCTCATATTCCGAATCGTGGAATTCGGTACCATTCAGAGTGTCACGAAAAGGAAAGGATATACAAGAAACTAAAAGAAACGCTCTTTCAGATAGCGTTAAAATTTTTGAGAACGATTCAGTTTCCTTGAAAAACCAGCGCTTGGAAAAAGAGGTGACAAAAACATACATTAATTATGAATCAACCTAATATATCTGCCCCATGCAATAGCTAGCTTTTCGAGATGCGATCATTTGCGCTAGAATGCTGACCAAGAAGTTAAATGAACTGAAATTCTGTTTTGAGCGCAGGTGTTTGAAATTGTGCAAAATCCAATCTATGGGGCTAAAAGTTTGTTTTTATCATGTCAAGAAAAGCACATGAAAGAAGCTTTCGGAGGATATGCGGAATGTTTACCGAAAGGGAAAATGTGGTGAAAAATTGTTATCTGGAAAAAGAGCTTGCAGAAACACGCATTAATTTTGCATTAACGTAATAGAAATTTGATTAGGCCAAAGAACAAATCATGTCTTCACAAGGTCCTACTTGCTTTTACACGTACTCAAGTCATCAAATATTCATGTACATCTGCCGTATCCTTTAATGGCTAATAATCAAGGAAAAGGATAGATGAGATATGGCAAACGCAGTTTTTGGCTATTCCCCCACATGCAACTAACTACAGACTTTTACAAGTAGTAAAAAGTCCTCCATACTTTTCGGATACACCAAATTGACAATGAAAATTTCGAAAAAGCACTTTACTGTATTTCCTTTAGGCCGTCCGCGCAGGGCTCGAAGAGTACGCGGGGTGTGTATTGCGCATCACTCCTCTTCCCTCGTGCACTCTCGCCACTCTGTTCTCTGCGCCTCTTCCAGTCATGAACTATCTTCAACGGACGTAACGCCGTTGCTCTCCGAGCACAACGCAAATGGCCTATATCTATCTTGTTTCTTTGTGTTTGGCTGCAGAAAATATGTGTGTGGATATTTGAAAGTCTCAATTTGCGTTCGCGAAAATTCCCGCAGCATTTCCAAGCTCGTTAGCCATTGATGCCTACGGATACGGTGTTTCCCACGCCTCGAGGCGTGGGAAAATACCGTATCCATTGATGGCGAATGCGGCGAATAAACCCGAGCTAGACGGCTCGCGAGTATCCGAGCCGTACCGACCGCACACTCAGATTGAGATCTCCTGTAAGCATTTACGACAACCAAGTAGGAGGTTTGTGTGATTATTTGGACTCCTGATTTTGTCGTGATCGACCTCTAATTTTTGGCCTTAGACTTTACAAGGTGGACTGTACAGTACACTAGTGATTTGTTCTTCCTACTTGAATAATAAAGTTACTGGTGAAAATGAACCGTATGAGACGAACTAGTACTTGTTTTTCTCGCTCAAAGTTTGCCTCTACCTAGATAATCATAATAGTTTGTACTGTGAGTTGAACGAACGTCTAGTCCGTTATTTGTCTGCGCTATGGAGGCGACAACTTATTAGGCGACAACGACGACTCAACAACTGATTGGACGCTTTTTGTAATCTCTTACCTGTAATCAGCAACGAAATGATGACGACTGCAATGTTAGCATTTGTGAAGTGTCTATAAGAAGCTTTTCGAAACCGTGCAGGCGAAAAAATTGCGATTAAGTGAATGACGGATAGCAGTGGTAGAAAAAGCAGATGCGCAAACCATTGCAAGCACAAAATGAGCACAAAGACTTGGGTTGTTCCTATAGCTAAAATAAAAAAATTACTCTTTTATTTGTTTTATTTGTTGGAAATCACAAATGGAACTCACTGGAAAAATCCTTCTCTAAGGCATAGCTGGGCACGTCGTGGACTATGGCGATGATATATATTGCAATGTCCATCACCATAGCGGTAATAATGATTTGGAAGGTAAAGTTACGAGACACTGCGCGACTCTTTACGACTGCCAATATGACAAGTATATCCAAAAGAATAATCAGTGAATTGAACAAGAGGTAAAGGATGTAAGCAACCACATCAAAGGACATCAATCTGAAAACGTCTAATTTCTTTACCTATAAACGTAACACCATAGCGGTAATAATGATCTGAAAGGTAAAGTTACGAGATTGTTGCATATTGTACGTAACAAGCATAACTAGCAAGTTCATTGCGTAATTTCAGCTAGTCTACAAAAAGTGGAAATTATTAGCTTCTTCAATTTTCTCCTTTAAACTGCATTGCAATTGGTTAGCAGATGCGTGTCACACACATAACGTTTTCGTAAAATCCTTTGCAGTGAAAAGAGTCCTTCAGAGATTTTTGTCAACCAACTTGAATAAACTGTATGATGGGTCAGAAATTTCTGTAAGTTACAAAACTTGTTGTTCAACTAGGGGTATAGATTCTCAAAACATGAGCCTGCGGATAAGTTGGGAGCCGTACTCAATCTCGCGAAATAAAATGTCCGTCAGATTAGTGCCACCATTATGGATGTAATACCGAACATAAAATGAGATGATCAAAAACGGAGACAGTAATTAGTTTAATTTGTCTCATGAAGCTCGGGTAATGTTAAAATTCGTGTAATTGCCTTGAAAATTGTTTGGACGCGTTAGACCGTATGAGGGGAAACAACGTAACGCTAAGAACTTCGGTCATGATGAAAATGAGTATGTGATCAAGCGAAAATGAGGAGGCGAGGTTTTTAACATTTGCCACGCATGATGAGCTTCAACGGTTCAATGCCCATTACCAGCATCGCGAACTGCTTCTAACTCAGAAGATTAAGACAATGAAAAGATGATGACATTGAATGTTTTACTTTATACTGTGTCACTAAAGACCCACGAAAAAGCATTTTCCAATACTTCTACTAACCATCATGAGCACCAAAATTTTTTTAGAGATTGTTTGTATTAGGTCAGTTCAAAAATTTTGTTGTTTTTAGAAATGACCAGCAAATTCCGTACAGTAAGGATAAACAGGCACTTTAAGCTGTATCGATGCAGAATCTCTTCCTCTTTCCAGCTGCCATTCCACAATGTGATTAAATCAGAGAGTGCTGGCAAGGGAATGGTAAGAAGTCGATGAGACCGATCTGAACAAGCTGCATACCATTAGATGCAGCATAAAACGCTGATTCGAACCTATATTCCATATCTTCTTATCGCCTATGTGGGCCAAGTCATGAGCCGTTGAAGGTTGTTATTTGCTGAGAAATCGTGCATGCAAAGCGCAAATGTAGCAGTACAAAGCCATGTTAGGCTAAATTCTGGGCTAAAACGTGCAGCTAACTTACTCTACATTCTTAAAGCCCAAAGGTGAGCTGAAAGTGCAACAATGTGTTCAATCTCGCAATTTTTATGTATGATTTTTTCACAATAAACCTGCTCATAACTTCGTCCACAAAGACGCTAAGCAGATTTGAAATATAGATTTGAAATCAGCGTTAAATGCTGCATTGAATGGCAGGCGGCTTACTTGGATTGGCCACTTCGACTTCGGACCATTCCCTTATGAGATAATCGCTGAACTTTACAACCCTTTGTGCTCATCATGTCTGATTTTCGATAATTTTCAAAATTTTCATCTGAGACTTTTGAGAGAGCTTTGATAGCCTTCAGACAGGGCAAATCTTTTGCTAAATGAAGCAGTTCAATGTAGCTTTGTGGCTTGTCTTCCAAGAATTTCTAAAATGTATTGTTTGAAGCAACCAAATTTTATATTTGGGCTATGCTAACTCATAGAACTTGAAATGGTAAATAGTTTAGGTGTCATTCCAGCAAATTTTCCTCTTTTCTTGACAAGACACGTGAAATTTGTGGGGAAAATCGCAGTATTCCTCAAGTGCACACTCACGTACCCTAAGTTTCAAAACCTTCATATGAAAAACGCTCAATTACTTTGGAATGTCAGTGATAGTGAAATCGTGTGTTGAAACCTCAGCCCTCTGAAGATTTTGCAGCGTTTAATGTAGTAACAGGTTATGCAATTTTTTCAAAACTCAAGACTTTTGGAAAATTATTTAGCAGAATTTTCAAAGAGTAGCTGAAAAAAGAAGAAAAACTGCTCCAGTTGGAAAAAGACTTGCCCTACTTGCTGGCTATCGAAGCTCCTCCAATAGTTTCAAATGGAAATTTTGAAAATTAGCGAAATGGTCTTGGTGAAAACGAGGGGTTGTAATTTCCAACGATTATCTCAGCACTTACTCAAATTCACTCGGAAAATATAGCAGCTGGAAAGAGGAATCTGCATTGGATACAGCTTTCATGTTGTTTGTCCCTAATCTGCCGCATTCGCCGGTGGCTTCAAATTATTGACAAAACTTTTGCACCGACCTAATATTTGTGCTTTCAACGAATTTGTTCATTTCAATATAGCTCAGAAAGAGAAACTCATGCGTTTTTTAAATTGCTTCAAGCAGCAATCTATGTATAATCGCATATCAAGCGATACAAGCTGGACATGAAAAGAACAAAAGTGTAGTTTTTGAATTCTTGATCTCAACAATTGTTAGAAGGTCAGAAAACCTATTTTCATTTTCTCATTCTCGATGATCGGCTTTTTTGACTCAACATCTCAATTTTGTCTCCAGTAGGATTTCTGGTACGCATAGTCGAAAGAAGCACTTTTCATAGGCTTCAAGAACTGCAAAACGTAATTTGAAGTGCTATTTGACATTTTTGTGAATTTTAGCCTTCTTTTGTGCAAGACTTATGGACCGACCTGATAAAAAGATGTATTACTAGGTTGACAAATAAGTTTTACAGCTTTGTCCATAACTTCTTTCTCTTTGCTGTGACACATTCAAATTTTGGCATTCTGTAAACTTGGGCTATAAATTGCGTAGTCTGATTTCTTATGACAAAGTGGAGAAAATCTAAGCATTTTCCTAAAATCGGCAGAACGAGGTTTTTTTTTAGCAAAAACGAAGACGTACAAATATTGAATCAACCAAATCCAGCCGGAAGCGTACGCAAGATGTTCTCAGAAATTGGCTACTGAGCCCAGCGAAAATTGTGAGTTAAAGTCAAATCGAAATCTGGCGATCACGTGAACTCGGTAGTGAATGCGTGGAAGCAGCCTCGGAAATCCATCAATTTCAAGGAGTCGGTACCGTCGTTGTCCAAACTTTGCACAATGGAGTGATTTGACATGTTGAACACGAATATCATATCCAGCTGTTGTCAGGATCAAAAATTAGCCCACTGATTTTTCGTAACTCAGCTTTTTCGTAGCATATAAGCCTTCCACGCAAAATGGATATCACTTTCGTACCATTCTAGTTTTGCCATCTTTGCTGCTATTTTTTTCTTTTCTTTAATTTTGTTTTTTGAGTTCTGACTGCTCAGCATCACCTGATTTCTTTTCCAGTGATTCTTTTCTAAATTCATACCCGCTCTGGTGGATTCCTTCCCCATCTGGTGTATTGATTTATTTTCATGTGTTTTCTTCTTTGAACCTGGGCATTTTCGTTGATCGTTGTGTAGGATTTTCTTATGCCGAAACCAGGTTAATTGGTGGAACTTTATTGACTCAACGTTTCGAACAATTCGTTTTCGTCACAAGTCTAAAAAGAATCGTAGGTATTCGTACTATCACTACATCGCCAAACCGTCTCGTCAAACGCTGCCCGTTAGACCTTCCCTGGTGCAATGTTTGAAGAGCAAAACGAGAGTGCCAACCTCGGTACACCATAAGATCAGTAGCCCGCACGAATTGACGGACGCAACTGACTTCATACTAGTATAGAGAAAGTATAGAGTAGAGAGTATAGAGTATACATACTTCATACTACTAATATGAAGTCAGTTGCGTCCATCACTAGTCTTATGGTGGACTGAGGTTGGCACTCTCGTTTTGCTTTTCAGTACATTGCACCAGGGAAGGTCTAACGGGCAGCGTTTGACGAGACGTTTGGCGGTGTAGTGAAAGTACGAATACCTACGATCCTTTTCAGACTCCTGACAAAGATGAATTGTTCGAAACGTTGAGTCAATAAAGTTCCACCAATTAACCTGGTTTTGGCATAAGGAAATCCTACACAACGATCAATATTGATTTATTGTTATTTCAATTGAGTAGAGCAGAGAGATGCCGGCCAGATCTGCGCGTGCTAAAAAAACTCACTGGCTTTTCTTGTAAATGAGTCAGTGAATGTTGAGCATAGATGTGTCTGCCGACAATAAATACAGTCAGATGACCGCCTCTGCCCTAGCCACTGCATTAAAGGCAGCGTCCAGGCAGATCTGGACCTATGGGGCTTTTACGTGGAAAGTACCTTTGAGGCCTTAACTAAGGCACTGCCCAAGCTGCAGCTCAGGTAGTACTGTAATGGCTGTGATATTCCCCTCAAAACTGGACCCCGCGACAGTGTTTCGCATGGATTCATGGCGCAAAGCGTGGATCCTGGCGCGAAACTGCCATGAATCCATGCGAATACGTTCGCGGGGCCAGTTTCGAGGGGAATATCTCAGCTATTACAGCACTACCTGAGCTGCCGCTTGGGCAGTGCCTTAGTTAGGGCCCCAAAGTACTTTCCACGTAAAAGCCCCAATAGGTCTAGATTTGCCTGGACGCTGCCTTTAAGGAGATAAATCCCAATCCTGTAATTGGCAGAATGTTGTTTCTTCTTCCGATAAACTGGTGGAGGCAATCCATAGTGCGGTGGAGGGGGAGAAACGGTATAGAAAACTGTTGTAATCAGCGGGTACTGTAACCACTTGCAGGCCTTAGTGCTTGCAAAAGAGCTGCTGATCACAAAAAAATATTGATGATATTTTTAATGCCCTTAAAGTCCACATATCTGGATTTATGGGGATTTTACGTGGAAACTACTTTTGGGGCCCTAACTAAGGCACTGCTCAAGCGGCAGCGGTAGTGCTCTAACGGCTAAGGTATTCCC